ACTGATAACATGTCGGTTGTCGATTCGTCGGTTTACGACTCAATTCCAATTCACCCTCAATACTCAACCTAAAAGGCTTTCACCCTAGTGGTTTTTGTTGTTTTATTGAGGTTTTCACCCGGACTTTTATTGAATGGTCATTCAACAAGGGTACTGAGTATTTAATTAAGGTTGGTTGGACAAAGGTTGGGGCTTGCATGGCTAAAGCGAGGGGTACGAGTATAGAGATTGGTTGAAGTTTCCCCGTGTAGCGCATGGACTTTTGGTTGAATCTTTGATTTGATTGCAGGTATGTTTGGTGGTTCGGACTTTAGATTTGACTGCATGCGATCATATACATATATATGGCACAGAGGAGTCCCACTGTGATTGTGAGAAGTGATCGTCACATAAGAATAACCCTATATATATATATGAAAATAAATATGTCTTGAGTGTTTCGCACGGCCTACTGAGACCGCGAGTAAGGGTTACAAAGATCGTGCGTTGAAAGAAGAGGGGGATCCTCTTTTCAACCTTTGCTTTTTAGAATTTTATAGTTGGACGTTGAAGTCTGTGACAACCGTCAAAATCAAACTTATTGACCATCTCCCCAGGTCGTAGGTGAAGGAGCTGGTATCCAGGGCCATAAGAGACGATTGCCACCACAGGTACGAGCCTGTGTACCACCCACTCTCTGCAGGGTGCAGAAGAGGGTGTGGTTCTCAACCGCACTTGGCGGTTGTCCAGCGTCGAGAGATCATTCCCTCAAGGCGCGTGTCAGCCCGGACTTGAGTGTCGAATGCCACCCTCGAGATTAACGAGGGCCTCATGAGTAGGGGTACTACATAGTACGCTATCATTGCCACCGCTTGCGTACGTTTCCGTTTGTAGTCCATATGAGTAGGCCCTGCGTCCGCGCGGTTTTATACGAAGTCTCACGCGCGTCGCCTATCGGATTTCCGTGTCAGAAGGTTATGGGATGCCTACTGAAGGGACTAGGAGTGATGTTGCGTTGTTTGATTTGTGTGTGTGTGTTTGTGTTTTATTTTTATGTTCTTTAGAGTGGTGTGCGTGTGGTGTGTGTGGGATGCGTCCTAGTCGACCGACGACGAGTCGCGCTTGGAACCTCAACCCCCCAAGATGTCGGTTCGCGTGCGGGTTCGATACAGGCGTAATACCGCATGTACCCCCTATGCTACAGCGAACGAGAAACGCCCTCTGCTGGCCCTCCTCCGCGATTGCAACTAATCAACTTTCGTACTGTGGACTGGTAGGTCGGCGGGGATACGCCCACCGAAGGCAGGTGAGTCTAGGTTGTCACCCGGGGCACCCCGGGGCGGAAGCCAGGGTGGGGAGTCGACCCCCGGAACCCCGCGGCGGGGCCCGCTGACCCCCGGGACCCGCTGTGGAAGCCCGTTGTCGCCCCACCCTCGTGACCCGGCCCCCGGACACCCACCCCCCTGCCCCCGATACCCGCACCCCCGCTGACCCGGGCCCAGGACCCCC